TAAATATAAAAAAACTAATAATAATACATCATTAATAATAATAAATAATTTCATTATTATATAATATTATAATAATTTTTATTATATTATATTATTTTCATATTATACGCTTATTTTTTTTCAGCATCAATCAAAGTTATTTCAGTCTTCTAAAAGCAGCCATCTTTGTGCTCTGACTGCTTTACCTCGCTGGTTGCAGTAGCCGCAACAAAATCAATGGTCTAGTTTCCACCGATGTCTTAATTCACTCCGAATATTTGTATGTACTTGATTCGAGAAGTATGCCGGTTCAAAGAATTATTGTTTTAAATCGTTTGTATTTTGTATGAAGAGTTTTGAAGTGCAATTGAAAAGGTTTTGTCAATCATTCAATTAATTATAATTAATTAATCATTTTTATATCCTGTACCTAGCCCGAGGAATTAATCGAAAATAAGTTAGACAATGTTTTTGTATGGAATTCTTTGTATTTTGTATAAAGAATTATAAAGTGTTATTAAAAAGTTTTGAGTGAGTTATTCAGATAATTATAATTAAATATTTAAGAGTCAGCAGGAACAAGCCAACTCATTTATACCTCATTTATGCAGTGCAGGTACAAATCTATATTCTATCATATTTTATCTCGTACTAATCTTTTCTCGAGATAATATTTTGCCACGAGTCTTTTCTTGATCCATGTTTTACAAAGTGGCAAAACCTATTACAGAGCCAGATTTTGCAATTTGGCCCTTAAAATAATATAATAAATAAGATTATCTGCACTATAATGCAGTATCACTACAACTTCGAAAGTTCCGTCAGTCCTAGTCTATAATAGGTGATTTAAGCCTTAAGCCATAAGACATGGATAAATCATAATCGAAGAATAGGAGAATAATCGATTATGATTGGTCCTCGGGCTAAGTACATAGTATAAAAATGATTAATTTATTACAATTAACTTAATGACACAAACTTTTTTAATTGCACTTCAAAACTCTTGATACAAAATATTCATACAAACGATTTAAAATAATAATTCTTTGAATCGGCATACTTCTCCGGTCAAGTACATACGAATGTTTCTAATACGACTTAGAATCAGATTTGAGTCGATGGAAACGCGACAAATTGCGTTCATTTCAATTTCGCTTTGATCAAATTTTTACTTCCGATGAAAACAGCATATTAAATTGATCCATACCGGGTGTTTATGACAAATGATCAGATCTCTGATCGGACAAAACTCTGATCGGCTCTGATCGACTCACCAATAAACTTTCTAAATTTCCCTAGACTAATCCGGATCAATGATCTCTGTCTTAGCATTGATCGAATCAATCATCGTGGATTAACGAAGCATAAAAGTGGGTGAGGTCCAATCGGACATATTGTCAATTGGTCGATTAAATAAAAAAATTTTTGATAAGCGGCTTACTAGAAAATTCCTAGACTTGGAGTGAGTGATGTGTCCAATTGAAAATGTGCGCATCTGGGACACTCCCATAAAAGCATTTTTGTGAAAGATAATCCTCTCTTTATTTTTTTTATATGAAATATTAAATAATTTTACGAAATATAAAATAAAGTTCGTAATAAATTTGAATTTATATATTTATATATTGTAATATTTTTTGTACTGAACATTTCTTTCTGTGAAAATAATCCATTTCAAAGCTTGAAGTTATATTGAAAAAATATTGCAAAGTCGTGCAAAGTTAGTAAAAAAATATCTTATTAAAAAATTGTTAAATTACTGATAGTACTTGAAGTGAATGAAAGGATCCCTATGGGTACCCTATAGGTGCGTTCTACTTATCGCTCGCAACGACTACGACCACGACCGCAATATTTACCGTTCCATTACCTTGCGGACGCTGTAAGTGAAATTTTAAACGACCGCGCCGACCCACCTACGAACCGTGAGCATCGTAGGTTCGATGTAGTCGCGATTAATAAAGTTATCTATGACGTTCTAATCGCGACCACAACGATCTCGGTCGTTATGTGGAACGGGTTTGCGGACGCTGCGAGCGTTGCGGACATTAAGTGGAACGCACCCTTTGAATACCGACCATCAATCAAAGATATAACCTACTATTGTATGTACATATGTACATACATACACGACGCTCATCATCGATCGAGCTACGTAGTAGTGATTGATAGTACAAAGTTACTAGTTGTTAATTGAAGCAGTCAAATATCGTGTAATTAAAAAAAATACAAATATGAATGTCATAGTAAATAATTACAAACAGCCTGCGAAGATTGCTATCAATTTATTCAAGAGTGATGTGTGTGGTAATCTTTCAAAAAGATGCGCCACTACTGTAGCCGATTACAAAATCACCTGGGTACGACCAGAGAAGATCTTGAATTTGTCATCCGAAATGTCTGGTGAGGGATTAAAAGTCGAAGTCAATCCGTCTGATTTTGGTAAAATATACGACGAGTTATCTGAACTGAAAAAGTAAATATTGAAACAATTATATAATTGTATTCTATTTTATGCGCATATGTGCATAGAAATGCCTTCGATGTGTTATTCGATATGCAATATTTTTGTTTTTAGTGCTAGCGATATTGTTAAAAGGATGTTCATGTTACGATTTCTACCTCGCAAAGCAACAATCGCACTCAAAAGGGAAAAGATTTTGGAATTGGTCAGAAGACACAAGTTAGATTCAATATCACCAGAAGCTCAGAGTAATGTACAGCTTTGATATAAATGATGAATTGTCATAGAATAATAGATTAATATATATTCATTATTGTCTATTATATTATACTATTGTTTTTACTTCTCAGTTGCTATTATGACTTGTGACATATGTGAATTACAAGAACAATTTGCAAAATATCCCACAAATAAGAAGATAAAAGTCAAGTTGCTAGAAACAATTGGAAAGCGAAGGAAATACTTGAGATACTTGCGACAGTGGGATTATAGACGTTTCGAATGGATTTTAGAGAAACTTAATCTTGTTTATAAACCAGTACCTGAGTAAGTAAGAGTACATAATAAAACAGCAATACATGTTTAGTCTATATCTTGCTGAAATGTTATATATCATAAATTTGCTGATTATTTTTCCTAAAATATTTTGTAGGTTACCACATCAAATTACCAGAAAAGATTCTTTAAGACAATTAACAGAAAAGCATTGCAACAAGATTATGCAAGAAAAATTAGATGCTTACAAAAAAGAATTGAAAGAACTGCAAAAGGATTTTTATATAGAAAAAGCAAAGAAGTTTGCATTTATCAGGAAGGAAGAATTGGCATGTGGATTACAACCATCTGTGAGTGAAGAGGATATCGCACGCGCTGAGCAAAAAGCAAAAGAATATCAAATGTGATATGTGATATTGATATGTTATAATTTAGAAACAATACAAGAATAAACAAGAATTTACATTGTTGTTAATACGTATCTTTTTTTCTCATATTCCGTCAATTTCATCTAATTCCGACCTTTGACTATATAACTTTGAACTGCCAGTTCCCCCAACTTTCCTATTCTTATTCTTGCTTCAGGTTGTAGTCAATATTACGCGTGCCGATATTAGGCTAAATGACAAAAAATCGAAACACGAAGTCAAATATATCAAAGGTTTCGTTTGATTGCGACTGCATTCATTCCTATTATTTGAAATTGAATAAAAAGAAATTTGTTTTACAACAACGTCAATTTTGTTTGTAGACTGCGCAAAAAGCATTGTAGGCCAAGAGTTCAGTCCTCCTTCTAGTTATTATTTCATATGGTCTCGTAATCTCGTTATTTCGTTAAATATAACCAGTGATGGATGGTTTTGCATTTTTTTATTCAAATAACGCGTTACTCGATTAGTTTTAGAGAATGACTGCAGATTTCGCTTCGATCATGATTCGATTGCCAAATCATCATCATTTTTGCGATGTATATACAAAGTGAAAGTACATACCTGTAATTGTCGATCAAAACAGAAAAATTATCGCTTTAGATACATTTGCGACATTCTCGAATATAAAATCGAAAAAAAAGAAAAATGAATAAAAAAAATGGCTTTGTAAGAAAAGAGTGCCCAAGTATTATATATATGATTTATGTTACGTGTATCGTGCTTGACAAGATATACTATAACTGTTTTTTGTGGCACGTGTACATATTGCTTACACGGTAAAAATAGGCGAAGAGATCTTTTTTCCTCGTTTATAATGGAAATGAACTTATTACTATACTTGAATATTTTTTTTAGATAATGGAAATTGTAAAATTGTAAAAGATTGTCGAAAACGTGATCGTTGTCGGCAAGAAGTTACAATAATTGATCGTTGAATGTAAGGATGAAATTGGATCGTTTATTCAATGTATGAACGATAATGATAAATAGTGGAATACAATTTTCTCAAAGATGTTCCTGGTTCCTATGCGAGATTGCAGTTTGTAACAGCTGATCGCGCACTGCGTAATCACATCTCGTCATCATCATCGTCGCTGCAGCGCAAACCGCGCAGGCCGCGCAGGCAACGCAATAGGCCAACAAAAATGCAAGTGAATGTTCGCGGGTATATATAAAGAAGAGTCGCACGCATTGGATGCTGTTTGTAATCCGATGATCGGGATATTGAATCGTCATTCATAGTCTATCTGATATTCGAAAACTCGCGGGAAACGTGACAAGACGCGACAATTTGACGAGTTATAGATTTGATTGATAACACATCCTTTTGAATTAAATCGCGCGCGCTCGCCTGTGCGTGTGTGTTTGTGGGTGCGGTCCACTTAGCGCTACAAATGCTTCGAATTGTTTGGAACGTCATTTTATCCGGTCCACTTGGCACTTCAAAGCAATAGCAATGTTCCAATAGCACATATGACGTCATTAATACGTCATAGATTTTCACTTCCAACTCGCTCTCAATGCTACTGCTTGGAAAGGTAATATGAAGCGTACAGTTTGAATGTACAAAACGTGGGAAAGCTTAACGAACGAAAGCGTATATCGTGGTAAGTAGTATGTGGCGATCTGATTTATTTCTGCGTGTAATGCATTTTATTTCTGTTGTTGTACTAATTTTTCAAAATTATTTTTATTGTGTATTGCATCAAATATTTAGAGATAAAATGCCAATTATAAAATTAGAAAGGAGATATAATAAAGGAATAATTTATACATAGAATTTATAACATAGAAGTTTCTGAAGAGGATGCTGTTAAAGCTAATCAAAGTAATGTTATAATTCTATCTATAATGATCTATAATGATTTACATGTAATTTTATTTTAAATAAGTTAAAAAAATAAATATCTTATTTTTTGAGATATGTGCAATTACTTGTTCTGAAATGTTTTCGTTATCTTCATAAATATAAGCTAGTGATTCTAAAAAAAGTCTTAACAAGATAAGCTAATATAACTTTTATCTCATCAAAATTCATGATCGCAGAATATATGTTTGTAAACACAATTCCGACTATTTTAACGCTTCAAACCGGTTCACTTACGTAGTAGTTGGCAATATTAGTAGCACTAATGGACCGTTTTATGGAAGCAAATGAAAGCAAAAGTGTCTGAAGCATTTGTAACACTGAGTGGACCGCACCTTATATGTGCATGTGTGCATTGTGTGTGCGCGCGCGCGAATTAAGAGAAAGGAAAACAAAGACAAAAAATTGTGTGATAAAGCGAGACACAATTATTGAATAAAAATAGAAAGAATAGATTCGTTTTGGAAAATCAACGAAAGCATTTTGTATCTTGTATTCATACTTTTGACAATTTACAGGGGGATCGCAATGTTTCTCGTTAAGCGAAAACGTAATTTAAAAAAGACCATCCATAATATGGTTAGTATTGCAAATTGAAATAATATTCCAAGATGTAATACTTTTCTCCTTCGGAAAATCCTACAGTCCGATAGTATCGCATATATATTTTAGCGTGGAATTTAATATATATATATATATATATATATATATATATATATATATACACA